TATTAAAACACCACAATAGTCCATCATCTCATGAGTACACAAGCTTGCCTAACTGGAGTTATCAGCATTTTCATTGTAAATTCTGCTTTCAAAGGTTTGTAACTTGCCTGTAAAAAAAGTTACTATAGCCTGAAATTTGTTGCAAGTTCTCTGCCAAGGAAGGACTATTTAAGATTAGAAAACTGTGCATCCATTGGAGTTGGTAGCTGGTTTGGGGTTTTATCTATTTAAGTGTTTTTAAAAAAAAAAAAAAAAAAAACAAAAAACAAAACCACACAACTCGGCATCTTTGAAAATCTTCTGGCTCCAAAAAAATCATTAAAGGAATCAAATTCCTAAAGTTAAATTTTTTTTTTTTTCCAAAAAGCTGCAGTTGTAAAATATGGCTGATATTCAGGCAGATAAGCCTGAAATGTGCACTTATTTGTGCTACTTTGCAAAATAGTTGCCACACTGACACACTACCAACTCCCAGTGTCTCATCAACACTGACTGTAAATAACAACCCTACCCATGCCCAATTAGTCTGCAGCTCAAGACCATGCCTCTGCTAAAGGACTGCGGATTGTAAATGCAGAATGGACACATTAAGACTGATTTAATCTGGCTGCTTGTACAATTCTCCCGAATCTCAGCTAGCAATTCCTGTACAGGGCCAAATAACTTACTGAACCAGATCTCTGAAAGGGCATCCAGCCCTCACCCGAAGCTGTGGGGATGTCACATTCCTCCATAATGGGCTGTGATAATTGCCCTTCCATAAAAAAAAAAACCCACACACAACCCTCCGATTTAACTAATCGGTTTGAATTGTTAATCATAACTTGCAGTATCAAAGCCACTGCTCTTATTAAAAAAAAAAAGGTAACAAGGGAACCCTGGGTGAACTTTTTGCTTTATTTTTCCTACCAAATTGGAAGCAGTATGCTGGTACTTCTCCATCGCCTCTGCCCCGGGATGATGACCACTGTGCAGGGTCCCACCAGCCCTGCAACCTCGCAGCAGGGTGGCACTGGCATGGAGAGGACCCATGGGGGCACCCCAGGATGGGGAGCACGCTGCTCCCTGTGGGACAGGGGGCATCCCACCACCGCAGCATCCCTCCTCCACATGCTGCAGCCCTGCCCGCTCCCTGGGAGCCTGAGAAGCACCTCACAAGACCCTACATCCTGATCCAGGCAGGTCACAGCAGCTAACAAAGGATCTCCAAGTGGACTGTGCTAACCACTGTGACCACAGGTGACGTTAACCCTGTGACCACAGGTGACGTTAACCTTTAAGCACTGCCAACATTTTTACAAAAATGAAGGTATGTTGCTCATATTATGCAACATTTTTACAGAAAGGAGGGTATTGCTCTGGGTACTGCACTGGATGTGTTTATATTTGTATGTTGTTTAGTGCCAGCAAATAGCTGTGACTGAGTTAAAACCCAAAAGACAACTCGTTACTCACTTCAGAGCCCACCATATGCACATATCCTTGACAAAGGTCTCTCTCCTTCACCGCTGCTCCTAGGAACCTCCCAAACGCACATTTAAGGCCATTTTGAACTACTGTGTTTTTCAAAGGACACAGAATTAGTCTGTCCCTTGCGGAAAGCTTAAATTAGTCCTTTGAAATTTGACCTAAATTAAAAGAACTGAAACACACTGTTACTACACCAGGCAAGGGCTCTGAGTGGGTGCTCCAAGGACAGTGTCAAGGCACTGCATGTGGGGAAGAGACTAAATTAGCTACCCAGCAGAACGATAACACACAGCTTGGGCAAGGGAAGGTCAAGGGAGAGCTTGCTATTTATCAAATATATGTCTAAACTAATTATTCAGTTCACAAAGTAACCCTTCAACCTATGTGTGCGGTCAGAGCCCTTTTGAAATGTTGGCTATCATCAAAGGCCTTCATAGCCTGGGTACACAGAAAGAGAATGGCTCCTTTGTACACACTTAAGTAGACTTATTTCTAAATATTTAAAAGCAGAAAGACTTTATACTCCCTAGGATAAAAAACATATATGTAAACACTTGATGCAAGACATAATCTGATAGTTGACAGTCCCCAAACTAACTCCTACAGGTCCTGTTTCTGCTCACACTGCTTAACAGCCTCAGATTTTACCATCACTGCTTAAGGAAGAAAGCACCACAACCATTAACAGCCATACTCGGGATCCAGCCCTTAGTGAGCACCCATGATATCAATATTGACATTATAATTTACAATGGCTCAAGATATCATCTTCAGTGTAAATACTTTCATATGTACCAGAGTAATATCTAATGGTCACAGATGAGATTCAGAGCTCAACGAGTCCAGAGTTTTATAAAAGCACCTGAGAGAAGCGTGCTACCAAAGAGATCAGACTGACTGCGGATGACCAAAAATACCCTGATACACGACAGCGTCTTGCACCTATCCTGCACATATCCATTGTGCAGGATATCGTATCTAGATAGGATATATCCTATCTAGTATATCCTATCTAATATATCATTGTGATATATTAGATAGGATATCTAATATCCTATTAGATAAATACTGCTTGTACTAAAGTATATACTTAACCAGATACTCTGAAGAAAACAGTTGCAAATGTCCCTAAAGTTATGTTTAGCTAAGAGACAAGAGTATATTCATTTTACAATCAAAGGAACGAAAAGCCACAATCTCAATTCCTGTTAACGTTGCATACAGCTTTTTGAATATTCTGAGTCACTAAGACAATAAATAATAACAATAAAAGCACCTAACAAAGACAAAATTTAGGGCACGTCCATGAAGAAAGACTAAGGAACAGATCAACACATGTCACCAAAGGTCATGGCCCTGTCGACCTTTTCAGCTGGTATGAAATGTCATAGCTCTAATGACTGCACAGTCAGCAGCCCTACCGAAAATTTACATTATTAGAGCACCTGACCCCCTAAATTAACTGTGGCCAAAATGTTTGGCATTTAGTAAATTAAAAAAGAAGTCTGCTTTGTCTTTGAAGAGATTTTTTGAAGGGTTTTTTGTTTTGTTTTCAGCTTGGAGAGCTTGTGGGTGGCAGTGATGGAACCCAGAGAAGGCGACTGTGTAAAAACTTGTTTTTTTTTTTTAAAGGGGTTTAACAAAGTACATAAAGGAGGTTTTATTTCCCAAATCTCAGATATAAATCCCACACAATTCCCTGTATTCTGCAGCATAAAAGCTCTTATTATAACATTAACTTAGAAGTGGGGTTGGTTTTTTTTTCCCCCCCCTCATTTCTGGTAGATTCGGGTTCTCACGTCTAAAATTGTTTCATGTCAGTAACATTCCTGCCCAGGGAAGAAGTTTTAAATCCTTTTTAATAATTTACTCTTTGATAAAACCCAGATTCTACCCCCTGGATATTCACTGTGGAAGAAATATCTTTAAACTGCGCTTTTTAAAATAATAAAAGCTATTCTTTCCCTGAAAAGCTGAAAAATTATCAGGCATCATTCAAAAAAATATTACTGTTCTCCCTGTAAAATACTCCACCAACCATGCAATCACATTCTTCCTGATTTAACCCTACAACTAGGGGACCTCACTACAAACAGCTAATCTGAAATCAGAGTTATTCATGATTTTGTCATTCCTCTGAAGAGCCAAAAAGGCACCAGATCTGCAATTAACAAATCATACAGTAAGTGGTGACAAGAGTTGGGCCTTTTTTTTTTTTTTCAATTTCTTGAGTTACCTTCAAAAGGGAAAAAAAACAAACCAAAAATCTTTGCTATCAACAATCTCTATGGCTGACAGATGACAATATTGCTATACTTTGTTAATTTTTTTCAGGAATGCTTGCTAGGGAGGAGGGCTCATCGTCTCTAAATAGTTCGTCCCCTGCCATCAATAAAAATGTACTTGGAACGGATTCTAAAACTGTGTTAGCTGGTGACATCTATTTTTAGAGGCAGTGGATAGAAACAAATAAGTTTTGCATGAAAATATATTAAATAAAAACAAAGCTGTATCTGTGGACTTGAGTAGTAGAATGTGTAAAGGCGAAATTCTCTCCAGCAAGCTTGCCGGATCAGAAATGTTCTATGGACTATTATATTGGTTTGACAGTTGAGTTAGAAATGTAATCACTCCTCCAAAGGACAGATAAAACCTTATGAAGGAAGCCTCGCTTTCCCCCAAGGTGCTCAGAGAGCAGGAAAGATCCTATGCAATACAGTAAAATCATTCTTAAATACAATCAGCTCACGACAATAAAAAAGCAGCCTCTCCTTAGCTCTTTTAGAGAAGAAAACCACTTTGCAAAGCTTGAGGAATGGATATGCCTAGAAGAACATACCAACAGGTGCAGGCTCAAAAAAGCAGATTTTATCAAAATACCTCTTCCAATGTAAAGGTCTCAATTAGCCTTTACTTTCACAGCAATAAACTGCAGTCCTTGCTATTCGGATCTCTACATTTACACTTCTAGAACTTGCAATCCAGACACTGTACCGATTGTTCTTGGATATTAACAGCGATAGGGAAATCTATTCTAAGTACAAACACCAATAAAGCCGCAACACCATTTTTGCAGAGTGCCTGGCAAAATTAAACATTCAGGCCACATGATTGAAAACTATTGGGATTTATTTTTCTCTGAACTTCTCAGGTTAAGACAATCACAAAGACATGCAGCTATACAGCCATTCCGTTCCTTGAGATAGCAACATGTAACACGTATGTAAGTGCAACAGACTGGTTTCCTTAAAGACCCATTCCTGAAAACTTTCAGCCGTACACTCGATTATACAACACGATACAAGTGAAATCACTGACACCGCTTGCTTGCGTAAGATTAAATAAAGGCATGCTTGCACGAACACAGCCCATGTGTGAGCAGGAAAAGTGAAAAAACATAACTCTTGAGGGCTAATCTGTTACTTGCCTTAGACTTACCAAAGCACATAAAGATGTTGACTTCTATTTCAGACGTTCAGGCATTTAAAATTAACTTATTTTGCGGAATTAAGGATTCTAGAGTGATTTACCTTCAGGTTCCAGCGTGGTGTCTTCAACAACTAAATTAAACGAAGGTCGAGCCAGGGAAAGTCCAGCCATGGTGACCACCACCAGGCAGATAAGGCAACCCAAATCCCAGCTGACCATCTTTTTAGAGTAAATTCCTGGTCCATTTCCATATCTCCATGTGGACTTTAATCCCATCTGAACACCTCTAGAGAAGCATGGAGAGAAAGCAGTGCCTTCGGCCAGGGTAATACCTCCTCCCTTGGAACGACAGCGGCTGCTGTGGGAAGGAGAGAGGTTTAACACTGTCAGCGAAAACATCTTAAAACACAAACCAAAAGACTTCAGAAAGCCCCAAACAGAGCTGAGGTGAGAGGGAGGGGAGGAGGAGGATGGGGAAAATAGTTTTCCAGCTTCAAAAATACGTGAAAAGTGAGTGACTTTTCATTTTCTGTTAGCAGTTTCCATCATCACCTGAGGCGTAACCAAGTCCTCCTTGTTTTCACAAAATCACTTCTCAGCACATATTTAGAGAGCTATTTTACTGACAGAAAAATATACAGTTTTTCAAAAGTGAGAGGGACACACATGTGCAGGCACATAACCTGTAATGCTGCAAAATTACCACAATTATACAAATTATATTCTTGTTATTGTTTGAAGGTTTATGTAAGTTTGCCTTGTTTTTCATTCCTTTGCTTAGGCGGTTTTGCAGCCAGCTCTATTCGCAACAATTCAGTAATTTTCCACGAGAAAAACAGTTGAAAAATACTCTTTAGACTTGGATAATCTGTAAAACTTTATTTCACCTCAGGACTTCCAGCTCCCCTATGGATGTACCTTCTGACTCAGTTCAGTGTCCTTTTAAAGCCTGAGAGTCCTGTACAGATGAAAGGCTCCAGTCTTTGCAGGGATACTGGTTAGCTACATTGCATCACAGGCAATTAAAATCTGTATAAAGTGTGGTACAGATTGCAGTTTCTCAGGAGACCTCCCCAGCATCGTTTTCCATTCACATACGCTAAACTTCGTGCACACACGTTTCTCTTCTCTCTCTCTCTCTCAGTGATGCTTGTTGATATATACTTTTCAGACGGGGAAAAAAAAAAGTCTATTTTATTCACAGTAAAACTAATTCAAATGGATGGAGTTAACTGGTAATCCAGGCATGGGCTGATGGAAGAGAGAAGAGAAGTGGTACCAAAGTAACTGGCACTCCCTTCAGGGGACCCTGTTGCCACGACACTAAGATGCCAGATGAGGGGCAGAAGAACATCCTCACAGGCTGATTTAACAGCTCGACCAGAAAATTAGACCTGATTTTCTGCTTCAAAAATAAAAGATGGTAAACCTCAATAAATGGATAAAACAAGTAACTGCAGCAATTGTTCTAATCTGGCCAATGATTAATCTTAGATGTGATGAAACCCAACTGAAGCTTAGAGAGCACTCATCTGGAAGGGAAAAATAACATAAAAAACCTTCTTTTCCCTCCTGCCCTTACCCTTTAAAAACAAACAAACACACACACACACACACAAAAAAAGGGAAAGTGTAGCCATGAAGGCAAACTTCTCAAAACTCCCTGTCATTTGGATGTGGTATCTCAGCATACAGTACACAGACATGGACAAATATTCTCCCTTTATAAAGCCAACCATTAAAAAGTTTACTCAGATTTTATTAGCCTTTTGCTACCTGCACATACAAAGCAAGTTCACAATGCTAAGGACAGAAATGCTGTTGAGGCATCTTTTATCTTGGGTACTACATGCAGTAACTTCTGGAGTCAGTAGAAACAGATTTTAGATGACATAAAGAAGGCACTTGGGGAAAATAATTAATACATGGTATTTCAGGCGAATCCTTGATACTTCAGGGCAAGCTTTTTTCACCTCAGCTGATATCAGCTCAAAGCCCTGTCCCTCCTTTAGAGATTTAAGCATAGCGTGAGCATCCCAGACCACAAGCTAGCAACTACTATTAAATCTCCAGTGAAAACACCACCAGACCACTGCAAAAACATTTGCAAAGAGCCTCCCTAGCACTTCTCTAAATAAGCGCAGAGCAGGTGTAGAACTGAAGAGAGCTCTGTCTCCAGGACCGGTTTGCATTTGGTTAAGGACTGGAGCAAGCCCTCCTGGACTCTACCACCCAGGTCAACCGCCCCACTCGCTGCCTGACAGGCACAGCTCTGTAGCTCAGTTTATCCAGCTGTAAAGCGGGTAGAAACACTAATTAACAGACTGGATGTAATGCTAATTTAATTTCCATAAATCATCCTGTAAAGCCCGATTAAAGGCTATGTATATAAATGTAAAATGTAATCATAATTTTGCAAAAAGAAAACATACTAGAATGCTAGCATATATTCCGGACTCTTTTTTAACAGCATTAATTCCGCTTACATTTCAGCTGTTTAAGATTTTTTTAGGCTACATTAAACACCATTGAAAGCACATTTGTGGTTCCTACCCTCATCCTAAGTCATGAAGTGCAGCACAAGGCTACTTGACCACGCATCTTCTCACCTGAAGATTTTTGCAAGCTTCTGCACCTGAACATCTGCCAGCAGAAAGAAGGCACCTCTTCATCCACAGGGCAGCAGAAAATTCAAAACCGTGGCTTGCAAAGGTGTAGCAAAGCAAAAATCAGAGCTCTGAACCCATCCATGGAGCCAAACCACTTTTTACCACCACGACAGTGACCAGGGTTCGAGGATTGCCCTTTCCCAAAAGAAGTGGAGTCCAACGAAGATGAAACGAAACCAAATTCTTCTCATAGTTTAATCGCCACAGTTGCTGGGGGACGAGTCTCTGGAAAGACCTCCAGCGCTGGATAATTATGTACCTCTATCTCAATGTTTGGAACACAGCCCCAGCATGCTTTTTGGCCTCCACAATTCTGGCTTCCTGACTACAATACCATAATCCCTCCTGGAGTCTCAAACTCAGTGAAAGCCACACGTAGTGTTTATTTTTCCCCTTGAAAGGGAACTCTGTCTCTCTTCTCAGCCTACACTTTGGGGAGGAGTTGTCAGCCTCCAATGATTGATGGCTCTCCTTGCCACTTGCTCATCAAGTCAATTTTCACCTCGTCACATACCTGCCCAAATTTCTTTGCCAAACTGACAAGCATGGGAAAGCAGACTGGTTTGGGAGCCCAACCAAATTCCTCCAAGCTGTACTTCAGTTTAAACACACTCACACACACAAACAAGTAGTACTTGTTCAGCAGTGGCATTAATTAAATTCAATGCTCGGTGTTCTTTTTAATCTACTTCCATTGTTGTTTATAAGATGTTTATCACTCTCCAGGGAGAGTACAATTTGTGGAGTATGTTAACCAAATCAATACATTGCTCATTGTATAACTCTTCAGCATCTTTCTCTATTAGGCAGGGAATAGCAAAATCTGAATGAAATACAGATCTTCCCCCCACAAAGAAATCTCAAGTGCCCTAAAAAGCCCAGTAGCTTCATCAGAAAAATCCAGGTACATGAAGCTTTGAAGCTAACAGCTTTATATACGCGCATACACAGACACATATACACACACAGAGATATATGTGCATCTATAAATATATATATACACACATATATCTCTAACAAGACTTTTCATCATAGTGCAATCTCCAAGCAAATCTGAGCATCACAGCTATTAAACATTAATTCTGGAGGACTAATGGGAACCGGCTGGCAGCTTCAGTACTTTTTCATTGTTTGAACTTCTTTCATTTGCTTTCCAGGACTATCCTGTTTTTCTCAAGTCTT